CAGTGTGCGACTGAGATCCCCCCTACAGTGTGCGACTGAGATCCCCCCTACAGTGTGCGACTGAGATCCCCCCTACAGTGTGCAACAGAGAGCCCCCCTACAGTGTGTGACTGAGATCCCCCCTGCAGTGTGCGACAGAGATCCCCCGTCACCCCCACCCCCAGTCAAACCGGAGGAACACACGAACAACCTGAAGTGGAAGAAGGTGTGTTTTCGATTGTTTGAGACTAAAAGAAAGAAAGAGAGAGAGAGAGAGGGAGAGAGAGAGAGGGAGAGAGAGGAGAGAGAAGGAGAGAGGAGAGAGAGAGAAAGAGAGATCGGAAAGACAATCAAGTGCGTTAACAGAGTGGGATTAAGAAGACAGCCTTGTGTGTGGAGGAAAGATAGATAAGTAAGAAGGACGAGGAGCAGATGAGGCTAGAAACAGTCGTCAGAAGTTTGTAACAGGGAACTGGAGGGACGTTTTATTCTTTTTTATTGCTCTTCTTTTCTTTTCTTTTGCAAGAAAAAAAGAGAAAAAAGAGAACGCTGAGGAACGGAAGGTGAAAAGAGCAAGACGAAAAGGGGAAAAACAAGGAACAAGACAATTAATCGAGAAGACTGACCTAGGAGACGAGAAGTCTCCGTACTGGAAAATCGGAGACTGGTAAATATACTAATTAGTACAGGGCTAGGCTACCAGAGTGGCCCGGGGCAAGTTGCCCGGCCCGGCAAAAAAGATTAAGAAAATAATAATAATAATAATAATTTTAATTTTCATTTCAAATTTGACAAAGAATTTCGATGTGACCCTGAGGCAAAAGTTGTTCAGTTTATTTTTGTGCATCGCATAGTTGTTTTTCAGATTTTTTGGGATTTTTTTTTTTTTTTTGAGCCCTTCGCTGCTCCTCGCATGGCCGGGCCGCCCGGTCAAACAAGGTGACCCGGGCGGCCCGGCTGGTAGCTCAGGTTACCACAGGGGAAAGAGAGGAGGTGAAACGGATGACGATACAAGGCAGAGACCCAAGAGATCTCGAAAACGCAGAGATGAAGAAAAGAGCGAGTCAGAGAGGTGTGAAGCCATCTGCATCAGATGGCCACACACGTGGCATGCCCTGGACAACCAACGAAATGCGCGCGGCACCGAGGGGGAAGAGAAGAGGAGAAGGGATCTAGTGGTCAATTCGAGGGTACCAACACACCGTTGAGTCACATGTCAATCGCTCCTGCTGCCGGGGACCCTTCCCTGGATCATGACTCCGAATCCAATACCCACTTCTTCTGTCCTAACCCGTCCCGGCGACCTCTCCTATCCTTTTCCCCACCTTCCAACTCCGCCCTGCGTCCCCCTGCTCCTCTCTCTCTCTCTCTCTCTCTCTCTCTCTCTCTCTCTCTCTCTCTCTCTCTCTCTCT